TGTATACCAACATATTTAGCATATGTACAGCCTTTAACAGTTACTAAGCAACAGTTGTATAAGTGCTTCCGTTGGGAGCAATTTGTTGGCTAAAGTAGTAAATTTGCACAGCAAAACAACAAGGCTCGGGTTTGTTTTATAAACGTTACCATGGATGCCACAACACAACCATTTTGACTAACCTTCAAATATGCCGTACAAAATAGTTGTATAAACGTTTATGCAACAGTTAAAAATTTGTCCTATAAGGTGTTGTGTAACTATGCCATAAGAATATTTTAAACACCTCATTTTAGAGCAAATATGTTGCAGAAAGCAAATTTGCATTCCACACAACATTAAGCCAGCATTCTGGTGTTCAGGCAACAACAATAGAGAGCTTTTATAGCTGAACGGTTCTTTTACCAAAAGCTTACAGCACTACCTTGCTAGTTGGGTACTTTAGGAATAGGTATGACGTTAGCCTGTTTCCACGCCTCTGAGAAACAGGATGTTGCTACGGTGTGACTGATAATAAATGTGATATAATAATAATAATAATAAATCGTCTTTATTTATGCATTAGTTTTTATGAATAAGAAACTCTTTGCAACAGATTCTTTTTAAAAATAATATGACTTGGGAAACTGATTGATTTGATATTTTTTCTGCAGTTCTAATTACTTGTGCATCTTGCTTATGCTCGTTCGAACATTTGGAGAAATCAGTTACACCAATAAAAGTATACTGCGTATTAATAACTAAAGATTGGCAGTTGCGTATTCACATACTGAGGCAATTTTGATTGAGAATATCGCTCAAATTTAGATACACACGATTATTCCACAGCCAAAACATCACAGGTAGCGTAAATGGCAACATAATTCAATAAAGAAGGAGACTGCTGGCTGTCTTCGGGTATTTCTCCTATTAATACAAAATCGATTCGAATGATATGTTGAGAATGCGTCTAGTTTCAAATAAAATGAAATACACAGGGTGTTTTATTGATTATGACCGTTTCTTCATGATCTCACAACTTGACAACATACCTGTACTATATCTTTCTTATACTCATCTTATTCTATCGGATGTTTATTGTGATTTTGTGATACTAAGGCCCGTATCGTCAGTCGTCCCTACAATTGTAGTGCGCCTTTATGGCCTTCTAGATTGTCGTAGTTTTCTACTTCTCCGTGTCCGCGCTCTATTTTGAGGTTATGTCACAAACATCTATTTGCATCAAATTGTGCTTGCTTTTCAGTTATATCATGTTTTATCAGCGTGAAATTTCCTACAATATAAAAAGAAAACATATCTTCACAGTAGGAGAGCGCTGACGCTGACACGGGACGGGTGCAATCTAGAAATTTTTGAAGGAGAGAAAGGAGTATGACAATCAAAGAGGCCATAAACGCGCCCTACAATTGTAGGGACGACTGAAGATACGGGCCTAAGTGAAAAAAACAGGTCTGGACTCATGTAAAATTTATCAACTCTAACTACGCAACCCTCCTTCATTTAATCAAACACCGTTGGGTACCACTGAGACAATGTTGCCATTTACACGGTGATATTCCTACTATGCAATAATCATGCAGGGATATCTGGAATTTTCCCTCCACCCCCCTAGAAAAATTTGCTACCCCCGCTCTTCAAAATGTTTTGGGTCGCTTCCGCCTTTCCTGAGAAGAATTCCTACAGACGCCTATGCCTTATTTGTAAATCACCAAGCTTCACGTTTCGACTAATAAGCGCCTGAAGGTTTCTAATGCTCTGGTGAAATTCATAAGACAGATAAAGGAAGTTTGCATGCTGTTCATTTGTGCCCAAGATGGAGTATTCAGTGTTCTATAACTTCCGACTTGTTAACTATATGCGAAGATACAAGTTACATACATGGTATTACATAAAGCTGCACGCTAAAACTTGATTGTCTATATGATCAGAAATAGGCTGACACAATGTTACTATTCAAGGTAAATAACTAGGTTTTATGAGAATCGCTGATATTCAAAGTTTCTGTGGAAAAGGTTCACGAAACAACTCCACAAAAGAACCTCAAGTGAAGTGAAGTGTGTAACTTGAGGTAGCGTGTCCCTTTTTTTCAATTACCTGTTTGGAGCAGTATTAAAACACTTTTCATCTGATTATTTCATGGTGTGTATAGAGATGACTGGAAAACAATGTTATATTTTTTTAAGTCAATAAACGCATTTTTGTGCATTTCATTATGCATTTCTTCTCCAATCGTAGCACCGTTTCCACTGGACTAAAACTACAAAGCTTTGGCATACTAGTAACCGCGTGTGGAAATTTCATAAAAATCCGAGCGGTAATTTCCAAGTTGATGATGAGTGATACAGTTTTTCGTGATGTAGATGTCATATGACTTAAAAAACATAACATCTCATTTTAGAAATTTTTCGCGATTACAATACTTCCTCGCCAATGACGTTGGAAGTAAAACGGTTCTAAAATCGAGGAGTATCAGCGATCGCAATTATGAGTACCTATTTGCAGAACGACTTATCTACGCGATATTATATGAAATAGGGCCACCAAATTATCTGAATACGTCCTTTCTTAGTCCGTACAATGGGCCGCAACGCTTGGTTTGGCAGCACGAAACAGTAGACAAAATTCGTCCAAAATACGATTTGTAGAGGTTCGCGCGCTTCGTAATTGACGCTTTATTTTTTGATATTTTTGGATGAAATTTTCACAGAGTGCTGAAAACAAAACCCCACAGGGTGCTATAGAGCCACCTTTCATTTTTTCAATAGGTTCTTTTTAAAAAAATCGCGAAGTTGAACAGAAAAAGTGCACACTTCAACCCATCATAAAACTTGTGCAAAAACAAAATTTCAAAAAGTGCTCCTATAGCACCCTGGGCAATTATCTTCTCAACATACTGTATGAATTTCATTCAAAAAATATCGAAAAATGGAGTGTCAGTTTTGAAGCAGCTGAACCCTTCTAATGGCTTGAAACTCACTGCGTCGGAGCCGCCTTAATGGAATAGTTTACTGACGTTTTGGCTACCTCGAAGACCGAATCAATTAAGCATACAAGCTTATGAAATTAGTAATTAATCAAACAATGACTCTTATTTATATCTTTTCCAAAACAAGAAAACTCAAATTAATTGACAATAAAACAAAATCCCTGAAGTTACGTTCATATTGGTGCACTTTTTCTTTCCCTCCCAGCTTCAAAATCAACATGACCTTGATTTTACCTTAATCAAAAAAATTTTACCATAATCAAAGACACGAATATTCTGTACCCCCGAAAAGCTGCCTGGCCTATAAAGTTTTCTGAACTCTCGAGTACGTGCTAAATCTGTTCCAGCATAAACATATGAAAATCACCTCCCAACATCTTACTACAACAGCATTTGGTTAGTTATCTAAATACGCATCTTTGCATCTGTTAAAGCGACTTCGTATCTCTTACTGTTTGCAAGATGCTAATGGTGAGGGTCGAATTCGGGACACCTGGTATATCGAAACAAACATTACTATACTATACTAAGTGACATATGGAATCCGAACACCCAGTTTAAATGGTTTTATTTTAATAAAATTTTGTATAAGTACTTAATGAAGCATAATAAGTAAATGATAAAAATTTCAAAATGATTGCACTGCTTTAAAGCCCTTTGACCTTTAATAATGTGTGGATGCACCCTGATGTGCTACGCATTCTCCAACGCGCCTAGGCATGCTTCTGATCAGGTGGTCAATGTCCTCTTGTGGTATCTCATTCCAGGCAACCACCAACTCCTCTCGAAATGCTTCTAGAGTCTGAGGAGGACGTTGCAAATTGAGCAATCTCCTACCCATCATATCCCACACGTGCTCAATTGGGGATAAGTCGGGAGATCTTGGTGGCCATGGTAACAATGTGACATCATTATGTTGAAAGAAGTCTATTGTGACTCTTGCAACATGTGGTCGGGCATTATTTTGTTGGAAAGTTGGATCTTCAGGGTGTCAAGATAGGGTAAAAGATGGGGTTCTAGAACTTCGTGGATATAACGCTGCGCGTTCATGTTGAAGATTAAAGGTGACCTGGAACCATAAGCTATAGCACCCCAAACCATAACTCCAACAGTGTGATGAACATGTCTTTCAACAAAAAACTGTGGATTCCTCCTTTCACCACGTCGCCTTCTAACCCTGGCACGACCATCGTGCATGCCTAAACAAAATCGAGACTCGTCACTAAAGACAATACTGTTCCATTCCTGATCCCAGAGTGACCGTTGTCTGCACCACTCAAGGCGATTACGTCGGTGTTCTCGAGTTAAAGGGAGGACCCAGTGTGGCCGCTATGAAAACAAGCCAAAACTTCTCATTCGTCGGTAAACACTTCGCATGCCAATAGGTCTTCCGTGTTCTGCAAACCATTCATTTGCAATGGATCTGGTAGTGGAGAACCGGTCCCTGAAGGCCAATAATCTTAGGCGGCGATCTTCACAGTCTGTTGTTCTACGGCGGCGTCCAGTGCCCCTTGCTCTTTGCGTACGGCCTACTCGAAGCCATGCCTGACAACACTTAACCACAGTGTCTACACTTCTTTGCACTCTAACTGCAATTGCCCGAAAAGAAAGTCCAGCTTCCCGAAGTCCCACTATACGGCCCCTATCAAACTCACTAAGTTGACGAAATCGTACAGATCTCCGTACTCTAGGCATCGTAACCGATCGCAAAGGATGTCAAGAACCAAAATCCGCCAACGTTGATTCTTTACTGCGGCTGAAATATTCATTTTTAGAGCGTTAGTGAATTAAAAAGAAGCAGTATAAAAACCGGAATGTCCAACTGATAAGGCTGAAAATTGTTTCACTTGTTATTTACAGTAAGATAGATACATTCACCAACTTTTATTAAAATAAAACCATTTAAACTGGGTGTTCGGATTTATATGTCACTTAGTATATATTATAGCGAGTACTTTTTGTCTTGTAGTTATACCTCTGCAAAATTATGGAGTGAATAGTTATTTATACTTACCAATCAAAATTGCTCCGGAAATTTCAAAAATCGTAGCCAAAATGCATGCCTGAAATATTGTCAATACTTTAGATCCAACGCTCGTTCCAAAAGAGTTTGCTACATCGTTTGCTCCGATTCCAAAAGCTGGAAAATATATAATCGATAATTATTTCGGTGTATTTTATATTTCGAGCTGTCTTACCTAAAACAAAAGCAATGAGAAAACCAACAATAACAAGCCATAGCAAATCTGGACTATATGGTTCCAACATAATTTCTTAGTGTTAAAAAAACAAAAAAGTTTTCAGTATTCCTAATATTAAAGAACAGCCATCTTTAGTTGTGAGGTGCTGCAGGTTATCTGAAAAAATATGAGAAAGTTTATATCGTAAAGTCTTTTTAATAACATGCAACTTTTATCTACAGAAAACAACTACGTAGAAGCTATTAAATCAATAGCGACTAAAAATAAATCCAATCTACTAATTTTTTTTTCTAAGGTGAGTGACGAAATCATTTTAGGTACCTATGAGAATTAGAAATATTAGAAATCGCCAAAAAGTTTCTCTTTACTGATTAGAAAATATTATGGCCTATCTCAAAGTATAGAGGTAATATTCATTATATTATAAATTTATTTCTTATGATTGATTCCGTCAATTGGTCACAAAGTACAGGATGTTAGTTTTGTACATATATACAGAAAACTAATATAAATATTTTGTGACCGGAACGAATTGCTCGTTTAAACACATTAGATTTAAAGCCATAGGGTTTTGTATTTACCATATATATTGCCATACTTTGTATTTATGTAGCTTAATAAGAGAACCGTTAGCAGAAGCCATAGAAAGTATTTATTTTTAAGCAACCTGTAAACCTACAGAAAAAACACAAATTATACAGTCAGCTTCAAATATTAAAAAAGAGGAAGAAGATAAAATAAAACCCGGTAATGAGTCACAACAGCAATGCGAAATTAATGAAAATACAGATAAACAGAGAGCAAAACCTTCTCAGGAAGCTATGAAAAATAAGATTGCTCTACTCGAAAAGAATCTGAATGCTTTGTATTCTGCCAGAGATACTATGCCAAGCCGTGCTGAAGTTGATAAACAGATCATTAAGTTGCGCGAGGAAATAAAAACAGCAAAACAGGAAGGTTCAAAACGCAGTTGCCCAGAAGAAACACGGGGATGGTATGAAAAGAAAGTTAGAAGATATTTGTCATGAAAATCCAGAAATAAAAAAAGAATATCTCTGAGGGATTCAGTGGGATGTCCTAATCTTGAAAGCAATCAACCTTCACTATTGAAAACAATCGCGGATATAGCTTTATTTTGGGAGTGCAGCAGATGATAGAAGACCAACGGAATCAATTCGCAGCGTAAAAACTCTTGATGAACTCACACAAGAATTACGTAAAATAGGATTTCACATTAGACGCAGTGGGACATATCTTCGTTTGATTCCCAGAAAATCTAATTCTGCAGATGGACGAAGACATGTATCGACAGTCCCTGTTAAGCTCATTCATTCATTCCATTATTTAGAGAACATAGCATCCATACTTGGATCAGATCAAGTATTTTTAATATCTCAAGATGATAAAGCTCGAGTCCCTATTGGCGTAACTGCGGCAAATAAGCAAGCACATCTTCTAATGCACATGGAATATAGAATCAAATTGCCTGATCACGATTGGGTAATCGCTGAGCGAAATAAATTAATACCATCTGTTTATGCTGGTATCAAAATCACTTCCAGTATGCTAGGACAACCGCAAGCCGTTGGATATTCTGGACCAACATACATCGTTATTCGAAGTGGAAAGCATAGTTCATCTACTGCTAATACTCATGCTCAGGATTTCGAGACGCTTCTCGAACTTGAAGAGTTTCGACCATTAGCTAAAACTGACCATGGACTAGTAAAACCAGTGGGAATCACGACGATTGATGGAGGGCCAGATGAAAATCCACGTTATCAAAAAGTCATAGGGTTTGCTATACAACACTTTAAGCGACATGATCTCGATGCATTGTTTTTAGCTACCAATGCTCCTAGAAGAAGTGCGTATAACAGAGTAGAGCGCAGAATGGCTCCTCTTAGTCGGAAACTGGCTGGTTTAATATTGCCTCATGACCATTTTGGCTCTCATTTGGATGAACGTGGCGTTACAATTGATAAACATTTAGAAAGATCTAATTTCGAATTTGCAGGAAATGTATTAGTTGAAGTATGGAGTTAAATGGAAATTGATGGCTATAATGTTAATGCAAAATATGTTGGGGCAGGTGAACAAGATCTTCCTGATTTTCCAGACATTAAATGGTATTCAGAATATGTGCGTGAGGGCCAATACTTGCTTCAAATTGTAAAATGTAGAAATACAGAATGATGTCGTCCAAGAAGTGGCCTATTTAGATTACTAGACAATAGGTTTCTTCCACCATCTGTAAAAGTAAAACAGACTGTTGATGACTTGGTTTTGGATGAAGGAGGGCAATTTCTTAATCTTCCAGTCAATTTAGCTCTAGGCTTAAGTGCTTCACTCAAAGATTTCCTGCAAATGCCCAACGAGCCGAACGTGCAAAACGTGTGGTCTTTATCATGCTTCCGTCAAGTCACTAAATCGTCACATCGAAAATATCCATAAAAAAGTAAACACGCACACTGATAGGAAAGTTAGACCTGCAAGAGTCGCTGCTCGTCGTGCTAATGAACTAATGTGCATTATTCAAAATTTAGAGCACCATGATGTTGAATGGCTCGATGAGAACGACGTAGACATTCCAAAATCCGATGAAAGCGAGCAAACTCACAACACTGAGCAGCAATCGAAGCAATCCAATGTCATCGAAAACTTAGAATCATAGATCCGGGTTTCATGGACTGAAGACTGTTAATTTGAATTTAATATATGCACCAAAAATATGAAATAAGTTTGTTATGTTAGAAAGATATAATATTTTTGTCCTTTACTCTATGTTGAATATCGTATAAGTAAAATATAATCTCTATCCTAAATCTATTTTCTTATTTTTCAAATTATAATTATAACTTTATAATTATAGTATTAAAGAAAAGAATACATTAATTGACACATGTTTACGTAAGCATGGGGGAAGGGGGTAAGAGCTTTGCTTACTTTTGCTGACAAGGGGGATGGAGGGGTATATAATTGTAATAATTCTGCTTACGTAATACTTGAACGGCCCCTAATACGGGAAAGCTTTTTTAGTAATAGACATAACTTGTGTTGTGGGAAAAACTGAACCGAAAAAGATGACAGTGTCGTTCAAATTCGGTAGATTCATGGACAAATCGGTAGGAGGAGTGAATCAGGACTTTCACAAGATCAGCGAGGAATCAAGGGGCTTGCTGGTTGCGTCACACGCAGCGCCTATAAAAAAAGTAAGCTTTTGTATTGCGCACACATACTCAACACAGGTTTTTTGAAGGCATCTATTCATGAAAAAATCTTAAGCTCTTTATTACAACAATGAGCATACTGGTCACTCTTCAAACTCTTTTACAACCATCATTGAAACTCCTTTTGCCATGCTTGTTTATAAGATTCTGAATATCTTTCTGTTTCACCTAGGAACTTGAAGGCTCATCACTTGACATTTTAATTTAATAAAATATAGGGAAAGTGGAATAAGGGATGTGAGTATATAAATGTAGGCAATCCAAATGTTCGTCACTTGTGTGTCCGACTGACTAAGTGTACGCTTATTCTTGGTTCCAGCTCTTTTTCGGTAAACGAGGCCGTCATCGGAGAATAAGGTCTCGTTTCGGTATAAATACCGAAAATGGGTAGACAGACTTGGACGTCTAGGGAGGGCTTCCCCCGCCCACCACTTGCTCCGCCCCTGAGTTGCAAGCAAGCATCAAGAAATTCGTGAACTTTTAATTTGAGTCATTAGATGAAGAAAGTCACGCGTATATGCACGTAAGTTTTGTTCCGAAGTCGAGATATTCCGTTGTGCTAGGTTTAGCGATCTGCTGAGCACCGAGAGACCAACGTGATATTTGAAACATTTTGATCCTAAGGATTTGAAGTACTACACATATACTAAGTGACATATAAATCCGAACACCCAGTTTAAATGGTTTTATTTTAATAAAAGTTGGTGAATGTATTTATCTTACGGTAAATAACAAATGAAAAAATTTTCAGCCTTATCAGTTGGACATTCCGGTTTTTATACTGCTTTTTTTTAATTCACTAACGCTCTAAAAATTAATATTTCAGCCGCAGTAAAGAATCAACGTTGGCGGATTTTGGTTCTTGACATCCTTTACGATCGGTTACGATGCCTAGAGTACGGAGACCTGTACGATTTCGTCAACTTAGTGAGTTTGATAGGGGCCGTATAGTGGGACCTCGGGAAGCTGGACTTTCTTTTCGGGCAATTGCAGTTAGAGTGCAAAGAAGTGTAGACACTGTGGTTAGGTGTTGTCAGGCATGGCTTCGAGTAGGCCGTACGCAAAGAGCAAGGGGCACTGGACGCCACCGTAGAACAACAGACCGTGAAGATCGCCGCCTAAGATTATTGGCCTTAAGGGACCGGTTCTCCACTACCAGGTCCATTGCAAATGAATGGTTTGCAGAACACGGAAGACCTATTGGCATGCGAAGTGTTCACCGACGAATGAGATGTTTTGGCTTGTTTTAATAACGGCCACACTGGGTCCTCCCTTTAACTCGAGAACACCAACGTAATCGCCTTGAGTGGTGCAGACAACGGTCACTCTGGGATCAGGAATGGAACAGTATTGTCTTTAGTGACGAGTCTCGATTTTGTTTAGGCATGCACGATAGTCGTACCAGGGTTAGAAGGCGACGTGGTGAAAGGAGGAATCCACAGTTTTTTGTTGAAAGACATGTTCATCACACTGTTGGAGTTATGGTTTGGGGTGCTATAGCTTATGGTTCCAGGTCACCTTTAATCTTCATCAGAGGTAACATGAACGCGCAGCGTTATATCCACGAAGTTCTAGAACCCCATCTTTTACCCTATCTTGACACCCTGGCACATCCAACTTTCCAACAAGATAATGCCCGACCACATGTTGCAAGAGTCACAATAGACTTCTTTCAACATAATGATGTCACACATTGTTACCATGGCCACCAAGATCTCCCGACTTATCAACAATTGAGCACGTGTGGTATATGATGGGTAGGAGATGCACTTCCCACGTTTACAAGTGAAAAAATTTTCAGCCTTATCAGTTGGACATTCCGGTTTTTATACTGCTTTTTTTTTAATTCACTAACGCTCTAAAAATGAATATTTCAGCCGCAGTAAAGAATCAACGTTGGCGGATTTTGGTTCTTGACATCCTTTA